TCATCTGTGAATATATATATATATATATATATATATGTGTGAGATACTGTATATATATATATATATATATATATATATATATATATATTTGTATGTATGTATATAATTTATATATTATATACATGAATTTCTGAATCCCACTGACCTCGTTGACCCCACTGACCCCACATTACGTGAGAATGCATTGCATTTCTGTTAACATCTCATTTTCAGACATCAGATATCTAGTACAGTCTGGAGTCACTCATGAATACTCTGACATCTTTATAGTTCATATTGTAGATAAGATTGGATCTGATGCAGGTAGGAAATATGCTTGCAGACAAACACACACACACACTTTTACCTGCTGTGGTTCATTTGAAATGATTATCTCAGATTGTGTCCGTAGGGGTTTCGTTCCAGTGCAATACAACTTGTGTATGTCTCTGCTTGCAGAATGCAGCTTTCATGGTGATATCTATAGTAATGGTGATGTCTTCAGCCCAGACGACTGCAACCGCTGTTCATGTGAAGTATGAAATCTAAAAAGATTTGGTGTTTGATCTTCACTCGTGTCCTTCTCTCCTGCTGGCATGTCTTGTGCAACTGTGACATAGTTTTTGTGTGTGTGTGTGTGTGTGTGTTTATTTTCTAGCATGGCAGAGTAGAGTGTAATGTGAATCCATGTCCATCACAGTCCTGTCAGCAACCACCTGCTCCTCAGACAACCTGCTGCCCTGTCTGCCAAACAAGTACCCACAATCCATCTCTACACACACACACCTACACTGTGCTTTGATATATATACCAATGAATGAGCAGAGGCATCATGCCCATTCAAACTGGGCATGATTTTTGAGCCAAGTGGATTTTGAATGCAGCTTCCAAAAGACAAAAATAGCCGAATAATATTTTTTTATATTTCATACAATCACACTGGCGTTATTAAAAGGTGCAGTGCGGCACAGCATCGGCTGCTACATTCAAATTGTTTGTGCTTTGCCTGGCGCTGATCCAGAGACAGATGCGTTTTTACAGCTGCACATTGTAACAAATCACACACGATTCTGTTGAGCTTATGAATGCAATGACCAATCAGAGGCGTTCAGATGAGTCATCATGGAAATGTTTTGTTCAGTGCGTGCGCTCGCTGAAGGAATTCTGCTCTCTGATGATTCTCTCAACAGAAACAACAAAGTGCAGTTGTACATACGATGCAAGTAGGATATTTACTTCACAGGGTAAACAGCTTCAGTGATTATAATGAGATTTTTGAGAGTGCTTAAAATGTTCTTTGGTAATGTCAATGTTCTTTGCTTTTTGTACAATGAAAGTGTTATAATTAGTAAATTACAATGTTTCTATTAAATTCACATTAAATACAAAGTCAGTCTTATTAAAAATATTTTATGGCATGGAAATGTTTTGTTCAGTGCGTGCGCTCGCTGAAGGAATTCTGCTCTCTGATGATTCTCTCAACAGAAGCAACAAAGTGCAGTTGTACATACGATGCAAGTAGGATATTTACTTCACAGGGTAAACAGCTTCAGTGATTATAATGAGATTTTTGAGTGCTTAAAATGTTCTTTGGTAATGTCAATGTTCTTTGCTTTTTGTACAATGAAAGTGTTATAATTAGTAAATTACAATGTTTCTATTAAATTCACATTAAATACAAAGTCAGTCTTATTAAAAATATTTTATGGCATGACCCATATCTGGTATAAGTAAAAAGACAGGTCTTTATGCGTAGTTACACTATTATATAAAGGTGCAAAATGCATCTACTTACACATATTTGAGAATCGGGATTATTTCATGTTATAGTTAACACGTTTGGGAATATTTCGAATAAAAAGGGAAAAATAAATAAAACATAAGGCTATATCAGTTATACTTATATACATATTATATATAATATATTATATTACATATTTTATATATATATATATATATATATATATATGGCTGCTGTGTGTCATGACAAGCATGATGAGCAACCCCCCCACCCGCTTTCATTCGTGCCCCCTCAAAAAAAACGCCCCTGTGAATGAGTGACACTTTCATATACTATAGTATTTAAAAGTACTTACCTGTGCATTATAAAAGGTGTATTTGTTTTTTCTTCCGTGTAAATTTTTAGGATGTGAACATGAGGGTGAAATCTATGAGAATGGGAAGCAGTTTGTGTCGAGATCAAACCCTTGCCTCCAGTGCAGCTGCTCTGTGAGTCTACTGTGTGTGTGTGTGTGTGTGTGTTCATGCCCATTCAAACTGGGCATGATTTTTGAGCCAAGTGGATTTTGAATGCAGCTTCCAAAAGACAAAAATAGCCGAATAATATTTTTTTATATTTCATACAATCACACTGGCGTTATTAAAAGGTGCAGTGCGGCACAGCATCGGCTGCTACATTCAAATTGTTTGTGCTTTGCCTGGCGCTGATCCAGAGACAGATGCGTTTTTACAGCTGCACATTGTAACAAATCACACACGATTCTGTTGAGCTTATGAATGCAATGACCAATCAGAGGCGTTCAGATGAGTCATCGTGGAAATGTTTTGTTCAGTGCGTGCGCTCGCTGAAGGAATTCTGCTCTCTGATGATTCTCTCAACAGAAGCAACAAAGTGCAGTTGTACATACGATGCAAGTAGTTTATTTATTTCACAGTGTAAACAGCTTCAGTGATTATAATGAGAGTTTTTGAGAGTGCTTAAAATGTTCTTTGGTAATGTCAATGTTCTTTGCTTTTTGTACAATGAAAGTGTTATAATTAGTAAATTACAATGTTTCTATTAAATTCACATTAAATACAAAGTCAGTCTTATTAAAAATATTTTATGGCATGACCCATATCTGGTATAAGTAAAAAGACAGGTCTTTATGCGTAGTTACACTATTATATAAAGGTGCAAAATGCATCTACTTACACATATTTGAGAATCGGGATTATTTCATGTTATAGTTAACACGTTTGGGAATATTTCGAATAAAAAGGGAAAAATAAATAAAACATAAGGCTATATCAGTTATACTTATATACATATTATATATAATATATTATATTACATATTTTATATATATATATATATATATGGCTGCTGTGTGTCATGACAAGCATGATGAGCAACCCCCCCACCCGCTTTCATTCGTGCCCCCTCAAAAAAAACGCCCCTGTGAATGAGTGACACTTTCATATACTATAGTATTTAAAAGTACTTACCTGTGCATTATAAAAGGTGTATTTGTTTTTTCTTCCGTGTAAATTTTTAGGATGTGAACATGAGGGTGAAATCTATGAGAATGGGAAGCAGTTTGTGTCGAGATCAAACCCTTGCCTCCAGTGCAGCTGCTCTGTGAGTCTACTGTGTGTGTGTGTGTGTGTGTGTTCGTTCTCCTTGTGGGGATGAAATTGAAATTAAAATTGAAACAAAAAAGAACTGTACCACAAAACCTTTAAAAACCACCCAAAAAAAGATGATAAAAGGGCTAAGTAATCTCATATTACTGTTCACATATTTCAGAGTATTAGAATATGTCTATAGGAAATATAGTAAGTATATATTTAAAGATGCTGCCAGTATAAACCAAAGCATACAGATTTTGAAATACTTTAAATTTTTAATTGAGTGCAAAGGTTAAATGAGGTCAAACAGAAATGGCAAAAGACATTTCAATGATTAATGTATATTTTACTTTTTTTCTGGGACAAAGAATGAGTTAAATAATTATGTTAATTGATGTATTTGAATTTTACCCTGTAAAACCTGACATTTGAAATAATAGTCAGTAGTTTTTAAATAGAAAATACATACATATTATAAACGTATTAATAGTTATATTATTTTATATTATTTGTGTGTATATATTATTAAAACATACATGCAACACACAAACATATATATATATATATATATATATATGTATATACGTGTGTGTGTGTATGTATGTATGTGTATATATACATACTAAAAAATAAATGACTAAAAAATGAAATAAAAATAAATTAAATACATATATATTATTTGTATTTAATTTTTTTGTTTTAATAATTTTAGTACTTCAGCTTATTTTAGTTAGTTGCCAAGGCAATATGTCAAATTTTTAAAAATTATCTTAGAATGTTTTTATTTTAAGTATTTCATGTACTTGCAATGCTTTACCCTCATTGTTGCCCACATACAAAAAGATAAGTTTAAGTTTAAAGTTAAATAGTAAGTTATTGAAATTTTCACTAATTAAGAAAGTTGTGTATGTGTGTGTGTGTGTGTGTGTTTCTTATAGTCAGGGAATACAGTCTGTAACACTGAGACATGTCCTGAAATTGCCTGTAATTTGGTGGAGACTGTAGGTGGGCAGTGCTGTCCCAGGTGTCGAAGTAAGTGTGTTGTGGACTTTTTCTACATTTTTGTCAATTTTAATGATAAGTGACTTAAGTTAAGATTGTCTTTAGAAACTCCTACTTATCAAAAGATATTTCCCTTGATATGAAGGTTGTGTCCAGGAGAATGTGCAGCACCAACACAGCTCTCAGTGGAAGCTTCCTAATGACCCCTGCACGACCTGTACATGCACGGTGTGGCTTCACCTGTTACTGAGCTGTTTTTGGCCCATCAGTGTTTTATTCTATAAATATAATTTTTCTCTTTCTCTCTCTATAGGAGGGTCTGGTTCAGTGTGAGAGTGAGCGCTGTAATATCCGCTGTAATAGCCCAGCCTCTCCTCCTCCTGGATCCTGCTGTCCTGTCTGTGACGGTGTGTCCAACCTTTTAAATATGATACATTAATACTGTTTAAAACGTTTAAAAACCAAAGAACAGTTAAGAACATGTAATCAAAATTCTGTCAGTTTACTTTTTTGATACATACTGGACGTTATTCCAAGAAAAAAATGTTTGTCAGAGTTCACCAATGCCGTGATAGGTCTACAAGTTATAACAACAAACATTTATAGAAAGGCTAGGAATATATTGCTTAGGAAAGAAGTGTCTTGGCTATTTATACTTCAAATTAGTTTGATACATTTATTTCTCACAGGTTGCAGTTTGAATGGAATAGATATCCCGAACGGGATGAGTCTGCCGCCAGGACCCGCATGTGATCCCACGTGTAAATGTGAGGTAAGTTGCGTAAGAATCTGCTTTGCAACTTTTGTTTGTTTATAATTTCTACTTACTTTTTGTTTTATCATATTTTATTATTTTTCAAATGTTTTTCAATACTTATATTTTTGTTTATAAACTGCTTGACTGTTATTAATATGTACAGTGTTTATTAATTAATTTAAATTATTTATTCATTTTGTTTTGTTAATGTTTTTCAAAACTTGCATTTTTGTTTGTAATCTGCTTCTTCACTGTCATTGATACAGCATGTAATTTTTGTACATGTATTTTTATTTAATTTTAGGTTTTAAAATATTTTTTATATATTTTATTTTTTGTGTAGAATCTGCTTCACTGTCATTGATATGTACTTTTTAAATTTTTCAGTACTTATATTTTTGTTTATATACTGCTTCACTGTCATTAATATTTAATGTTTTTATTTTTTTATTTAATAAAAAAAGTTATAATTTTTTTTGTATTCATTGTTTTTATCTTTGTAATTGATATGTAAATTATTTTATTAATTTATTTTATTTTATTGTTCTCAAAAACTTGCATTTTTGTTTGTAATCTGCTGCTTCACTGTCATTGATATGTAATTTAAATCTCAATTTAATTTAATTTAATTTTTTATTTATTTTTTTCCCAGAGAATGCGTGAACTGATAAAATGTTTACTCTGAATGCAGTGTAAATCACTTTGAATAAAAGTGCCAAATAAAAAAAATCTCAAATTGATTTGGATGAAATGGTTTTCTAAAATGAAAAATAATTTCTTTTTTTTCACAACTTTTTTTTCAGAATGGAAATATTAATTGCGTTCAGTACCCACCCTGCCCACCGACTCCCTGTCATAATCCAGTCAGGAGACCAGCAGAATGCTGTGCACGGTATCATCATTTCATCACACTTTTTTTGCTAGAAGAGTAAACAAGACAGAGGTGAAACACTCTTTATTTGATTAATCAGTTCTGTGTGTTGGTGTTCAGATGTGAGGAGTGCATTCACGAGAGCGAGGCGTACACAGACGGTCAAACCTTTGTGTCCAGACAGGATCCATGCTTAAGATGTCAGTGCTCGGTGAGTGTTTACTAAAGTGTTTACTATATATATATGATCATGTGAATGTATTTGTTTGTGCATGTATGGGTATATCTTATGATGCAGGGTGGACAAGTGTCGTGTGAATCTGCAACATCTTCATGTCCGTCTGCGAGTTGCACGCACCCAGCAAAACCACATGACCAGTGCTGTCCGACTTGTAACAGTAAATAAGCATGCAAACATCTTTCTTTTAAGATAGATCTTTCTTTCTCATAACATAATTACATAACATAACATAATTAAAAAAGACACAGAGTTGTCCTGGATTTAAGACACAAATACTGATGTGTTTTTACTGTGTTGCAGCTTGTGAATATGAAGGAAGGGTTTATGAAAATGGAGAAGATTTCAGGCCTCCTGGTGGAGGTCCATGCATCCAGTGTTTATGCAAGGTGAAACACAGACACACACTTGGGGCCCTATTTTAACGATCCAAGCGCATGGTCTAAAGTGCACGGCGCAGGTGCACTCAGGGCGTGTCCGAATCCACTTTTGCTAGTTTAACGACGGGAAAACGGTCGGCGCCTCCGGGCACATGGTCTAAACGGGTTGTGTCTATTCTCTTAATGAGTAATGGGTGTTTTTGGGGCGTAACGTGCAATAAACCAATCAGAGTCTCATCTCCCATCCCCTTTAAAAGCCAGTTGCGCTCGTGCCATGGCGGGTTCGAATATGTAATTTTTCATTTTTAAAAATGTTTGTGTGCTGCTGCACCCTGTGTGTGTAATAAGCAAAGTGTACGTGCGTTGTGCACCTGCCTATAGGCGCATATTACTAACGCGCTCTTTAAATAACAAAGAAAAAATATTGCGCCAGACTTTAGACCAGGTTTGAGTTGGTCTATGGCGCAGTCTATTTTCAGTTCCTCAAAATAGCAACGTGCCAACAATGCCCATGGGCGCACAAATGGGCGCAAATGCATTTGCTATTTAAACAATGTGGCGCAGGACGGGAAAATGAGAACTGCGTCGGGCTGAAACTAGCAAAAACACTTGCGCCGCACCTTGTGCCGCATTGCGCCGGGTGTATGATAGGGCCCATCAAGTGAAAAGAGCTACTGTCAATTCAGTTTCAAGCAAGGATAATCAATGAAATTACTGATGAAAATGGTTGCTTTTTTATTTTGTCAGTGATTTCGACAATATTTTTTTTCAATTTAATTAAAGATAAAGTTGACATGTTTAAATGAATAAATAAAATGGTAAAATATTTGTTTTATTTTGCTTAAAATAAAATGTTGACTTAAAATGATATAGCATTATTGGCTAAAATTGACGAATATGACATGACAAAATTTTAAGTAAATTAAAAGAATATTTTTAAAAACAATTGTCCAAAAAAGGACAATTCCATATGACTTGTGCACTACGTATTTTTATGAAGTCTTGTATTGGCTTCATCTCAGGAACATGACAAAAACTTGACACATAAAAGCTGGTCATGCTAGGTTTGACGTCACTTAAGTCATTGATTCTTGTGTAACATTATATTGTTTTTTTTTGTTAGAATGGTAACGTGAGATGTCATCAGGAAAGATGCCCACTTTTGAGCTGTGCAGTTCCCATTCCAGCCCCGCTTAACACCTGCTGTCCAGTGTGCAGCGGTAAGACATTCTGCAGTACATACTGCTGCCACTAACTTTAACATGAAACACATTCTCTCATACAGTACCATTCAAATGTTTGGGGTTAATAATTTGTTTTTGAAAGATATTAATAATTTAAAATGTTTAAAAGTGACAGTAAGGACATTTATATTGTTACAAAAGATTTGTTTCAAATAAATGCTGTTCTTTTTAGCTTTCTATTCATCAAAGAATCCTGAAAAATGTTTCCACAAAAATATTAAGCAGAACGACTGGATGATAGTAAATGTTTCTTGAGCACCAAATTAGCATATTAGATTGATTTCTGAAGGATCATGTGACACTGAAGACTGGAGTAATGATGCTGAAAATTCAGCTTGGCATCACAGGAATAAATTATATTTTAAAATAAAATCAGAAAGAGTTTTTTTTTTATTGTAATAATATTTCACAATATTACTGGTTTTACTGTATTATTAATCACATAAATGCAGCCTTGGTGAGCATTAAAGATCTTCCAAAATAAGGGTGTCACAATATACCGGTACTGACGATAAACATGATATTTAAAAAGTGCAATATCGTTATCGTGTTAATTAGGGGTGTGGTGATACACCGGTACTGACGATAACTATGATATTTGTGACCCTGGACCACATGACCAGTCATAAGTAGCACAGGTATATTTGTAGCAGTAGCCAGCAATACATTGTATGGGTCAAAATTAGGGCTGCACGATAAATCACATGCGATATTTAACTCGCATCTTATCAGTAAAGCCGGTTCTGTAATCAGCTGTAAATCTCCATCACCTGCGGGCTTTCACATTGAGCAGCATTAACTACACAGAGCCGTTGTTCACTGACGAGCTGCTCAAAACCACGTTCATATTGCGCGATTTTTTTGCGCAGCTCGTCAGTGAACAACGGCTCTGTGTAGTTAATGCTGCTCAATGTGAAAGCCCGCAAGTGATGGAGATTTACACCTGATTACAGAACCGGCTTTCTGACAAGATGCACATTAAATATCGCATGTGATTTATCGTGCAGCCCTAGTCAAAATTATCAATTTTTCTTTTATGCCAAAAATCATTAGGGTATTAAGTAAAGATCATGTTTCATGAAAATATTTTATAAATTTCCTACCATAAATATATCAAAACTTAATTTTTGATTAGTAATATGCATTGCTAAGAACTTCATTTGGACAACTTTAAATGCGATTTTCTCAATATTTTGATTTTTTTGCGCCTTCAGATTCCAGATTTTCAAATAGTTGTATCTCAGCCAAATATTGTCCTATCCTAACAAACCATACAGCAATGGAAAGCTTATTCATTCAGCTTTTAGATTATGTATTAATGTGTAAATCAAAAAATGGACCCTTATGACTGGTTTTGTGGTCCAGGGTCACATTTCAAAATGAGAAGTAGACACTGGTCAAACACGTCATTTATGTTTCATTCATACTCGACGCCAGAGGGCGCCCTCACACAGAAAGTCCACAAGCAAGACTCATAGGAGTGATAAAACAAATGACTTTCCAGGAAATCCCTTATATGGACAATGGCATCCAGCTATGGCTGTAGCTGAATAAAATGCAGAAAGAAATGTTATGACTGATGAAATGTGAACAGAATTAACATATGATTGCAACAGTATATGGTTTATCTGTGTTCTTCAATCCATCTCTGTTGGATGTAAATGTAATGCTAATATTACACAGTCTTTATCACTGAATAGACTTCTATAAAATAGTTTACTTTCTGCCGCATTCTGTGATAAGAACACATCAGTTCACAGAAGAACATTCAAATACTTATATACAGTATATATATATATATATATATATATATATATAATTATTAATATAATTTAAATTTATATATTATATATATTTATATAAACAATATATATAATTTATATTATTTAATATAAAATTTTTGTTATTTTTAATAATATATTGTTATTGTTCATTCTTTTGGCCACGGTAATTGTGTGGTGAAAATATTTAAAATATTTAAAATATCTTACCGACTCCAAGCTTTTGAACAGTAGTGTATATGTTCATTGCATTCTATGTCCATGTATGTAGAATGTACTTGGAATGGTGTTCAATATGAAGAAGGAGCCACATGGACTGACGCTGGCCAAACATGTTCTTGTGTGGGTGGACAGGTGACGTGTCGTAGGCCTAAAAGGGGCTCGGACTGTCCCAAAATGACCCCCGCACCCTTCCCAAATCCCCCAGGTAAGAGAAAGAAAACAAATATGAAAGACGGGGAGAAAAAACAGAGGCACTGTTCCAAACCCAAATGAGTTATGAGTACATGGGTAGTTACCTTGTAAGACAGCATCCTAGCCAAATCTCGACTGATTTGAATCACTCTGAGAGAAACACTTTCAGAGTTGGACTTGGACTCTAATTAGAGTTACTCCAGTTAGAGTATTACTAAGCTAATGAGTCAGTGCTAAAAATTTATAGTAAAAGCATATCGAAAAATAAATAAAAGCTTATGGAAAATATTTATATGCACATTAGTTTTAATATCTGTATTATATTTTGAAGTATATTTAAAATTATAACTGAAAATGTATAAAATATCTGCATTTTAATAAGAACAAATTTCTTAGTCCTATCCTCAGAACTGACAAAAATAGGTATAAAAACGTTTCACATACTGCCTACTGTTTCAAAACATCTGGAAGTTCCTATAATGCTTAAAATGGCTGTCTAGATAGGCATCACACTAAGGTTTTGAACAGAGCCACAGAATATTCAGGCTGAGAGGATGAAACAGTGGCTGCTTAGACTTATATCAGTCGCAGTTAAATCTAGTAAGTTGTTTAGATGTTGATAATTGTATGAAGGTGGCGATTGCTGTGGGGATTCCTGTGGGCAGTGCCAGTACAATCAGCGCTTGTATGAAAACGGCCAAACGTTCAAGGACCCAGATGATGCCTGTAAGACGTGCACTTGTCAGGTACTCGCTATTGGAAATCCTAGATTTGACATTTTATGGATGTTTAATACCAAACAAAAACGGGGTTCAGGGTTTGTACGAGCAAGTATGAGCAACTATTGAAATGATTCAGTGTTTATTAAATGTTTAAATGTTGGTTTTAAAAATACAGTAAAAACAGTAATATTAGTAAATATTATTGCAATTTGAAATAACAATTTTCTGTTGTAATATATTTTAAAATGTAATTTATTCTTCTGATGCATAGCTGAATTTTCAGCATCATTACTCCAGTTTTCAGTGTTACATGATTCTTCAGAAATCATTGTAATATGCTGATTAAAAACATTTTTTTTAAAGTAATGTTTACAAAATTTTGACAAGTACTGTCAGTTTTATCAGCTAATTTGTTTACATGAACGTGTGTGTGTGTGTAGGATGGTCAGGCAACATGTGGTTCACCTGCATGTCCCCAACCGAGGTGTGCTAATGCATACACTCCTCCTGGAGAGTGCTGTCCCCGGTGTCCAGGTACACTTTCATTCACTAACCTCAAATAACTTGATCTTAGTTGTGCACACTAACAGTTAGTTTCCTCTTGTTGTTTTCTTCATTTTCAAGACTGTGAATATGATGATAACCACATCATTACTAATGGAGATACTGTTATGGTCATATAATAACACAAAAGGGCTCGGTTCACATTTACATTTAGTCATTTTGCAGACGCTTTTATCCAAAGCGACTTACCATTGGGGAATACATAAAGCGATTCTTCTCAAAGAGGCAAACAGACACAGGAAGTGCTCCTAATACCAAGTTTCAGGCATTGTTCAAATAAGTGCAAGATAGAAAGGGAAGGAATAAATAAAGAGAAAGACAAAGTTTTTTTTCTTTCTTTAATTTAGGATGAAGTCAAGTAGTCAAGAAGTCAAAGAGATGAGTTTTCAGCTGTCGCTTGAAAGTTGTCAGGGATTCAGCATTCCGGATAGGGGTGGGAAGATCATTCCACCAGCCAGGAACGGTGAACGAGAATGTTCTGGAAAGTGATTTTGAGCCTCTCTGTGATGGTACCACGAGGCGTCGCTCACTAGCGGATCTCAGACTTCTGGAGGGGATGTAGATTCGTAGTAGTGAGTGGAAGTAGGCGGGTGCTGAGCCTGTGGCTGTTCTATATGCAAGCATCAGTGTCTTGAACTTGATGCGAACCGCAACCGGTAGCCAGTGCAAGGAGATAAAGAGAGGTGTAACTACATCTGTTTAATTATATAAATAATATATATTATTTATATTATTTATTATAATAATTTTTTTCAAGATTTCTGTATATATATCACAATATATCGTTATTGTTCATTCTTTTGGCCATGGTAATTGTGTGGTGAAAAATCTGATATCATGACCAGTGTTGGGGAAAGTTACTTTTAAAAGTAATGCATTACAATATTGCGTTACTCCATAAAAAAAGTAACTAATTACGTTACTTAGTTACTTTTTATGGAAAGTAATGTTATGTTACTTTTGCGGGGTTTTTTGCTTTTTTTTACTTTTTAAATCTTGACAGGGCTTGCTTGTTTGTTTTAAAATATTTTTTTTTATTTTTGGAAAATATAAAAGCCTTTTCACACCAAAAGTGAAATGAATAAGCCTCAGGCTGAAGGGAATGTAAATTTACGTCTGTACAGTAGAATACAGAAGAAATTTCAACACACTTCAGCAATAAAAAAAGACACACAAATGTTTGTCTAGAGTAATTTTTGCTTATTAGTATGGTTGAACTGGATCATCGAAGGTCAGAAGCAAAGACATTGGTTAATAGAATGGGATTAAATACATAAAAGATATTTGTGTTGTTTAACATTTAATTATTGCAGGTTTGCGTCATATTCTGAGTTGCATTATTTTTATTCATTTTGAGGAATACTGAATCTGTGTTTTTTTTGTTTTTTTTGTGAGTGAGATGAATTAATGCATATTCATATTTATTTTAGAACTACAGTAACATCTGATTTCTCTCAACATGGGGACAGGATAGCTGTCAATCAATAAATTGAAAAAAAAAAGTAACTTGCGTTACTTATTTCAAAAAGTAAATCAGATATTCTCTTGTAAATTAAAAATGTGTTTACTTTACTAGTTACTTGAAAAAAGTAATCTGATTACGCAACTCGCGTTACTTGTAATGCGTTACTCCCAACTCTGATCATGACTGCCCTAAAGACATTAAAAAAATATTACTGACTCCAAGCTTTTGAACAGAAGTGTATATGTATCCGTTGCCTTCTGTGTCCATGTATGTAGGATGTACTTGGAATGGTGTTCAATATGAAGAAGGAGCCACATGGACTGACGCTGGCCAAACATGTTTTTGTGTGGGTGGACAGGTGACGTGTAGTAGGCCTAAAAGGGGCTCGGACTGTCCCAAAATGACCCCCGCACCCTTCCCAAATCCCCCAGGTAAGAGAAAGAAAATAAATATGAAAGATGGGGAGAAAAAACAGAGGCACTGTTCCAAACCCAAATGAGTTGTCTCTGTGTCTTCATACTGTACATGGGCAGTTACCTTGTAAGACAGCATCCTAGCCAAATCCCGACTGATTTGAATCACTCTGAGAGAAACACTTTCGGAGTTTATTGCAAATGCTAATGAGTCAGTGCAGTGAAAATATAAGTAAAAGCGTATCGAAATGCTAAGTAAAAGCTTATGGAAAATATTTTTATCAACATTTATTTTAATATCTGTATTAGCAATATTTGTATATTCTGAAGTATATTTAAAATTATATTTAAAAATATTTATAAAATATAATATAGAATATTTATTTAGAACAGTTTCCTTAGTCCTATTCTCAGTACTGACTAAAATAGGTATAGTAACATTTCACATACTGTCTACTGTTTCTAAACACCTTACCTCTAGAATGTTCCCATAATGCTTAAAATTGCTGTCTAGATAGGCATCTCACTAAGGTTTTGAAGAGCCGCATAATATTCAGGCTGAGAGTATGAAACTTGCTTAGACTTATATCAGTCGCAGTTAAATCTAGTAAGTTGTTTAGATGTTGATAATTGTATGAAGGTGGCGATTGCTGTGGGGATTCCTGTGGGCAGTGCCAGTACAATCAGCGCTTGTATGAAAACGGCCAAACGTTCAAGGACCCAGATGATGCCTGTAAGACGTGCACTTGTCAGGTACTCGCTATTGGAAATCCTAGATTTGACATTTTATGAATGTTTAATACCAGACAGAAACGGGCTTCAGGGTTTGTATGAGCAACTATTTAAATGTTTCAGTGTTTATTAAATGTTTAACGTTTTGGGGAAAAAAGTGATGTTCTTTACAGTTCTTGTTAAAAGACACTCACCAAGGCTGCATTTATTTAATCAAAAATACAGTAAAACAGTAATATTAGGAAATATTATTGCAATTCAAAATAACTGTTTGAATTTGAATATATTTTAAAATGTAATTTATTCCTGTGATGAAGAGCTGAATTTTCAGCATCATTACTCCAGTTTTCAGTGTCACAAGATCCTTCAGAAATCATTCTAATATGCTGATTTTTTTAAAGTAATGTTTACAAACTTTTGACAAGTACTGTCATAATTATCAGCTAGTTTATATACATTACTGTGTGTGTGTGTGTGTGTGTGTGTGTGTATGTATTTGTGTAGAATGGTCAGACAAGTTGTGCTATGCCTGCATGTCCCCAACCGACGTGTGCTAATGCATACACTCCTCCTGGAGAGTGCTGTCCCCGGTGTTCAGGTACACTTTCACTAAACTAACCTCAGAAGATAACTTGATCTTAAGTTGTGCACACTAACAGTTAGTTTCCTCTTGTTGTTTTCTTCCTTTTCAAGACTGTGAATATGATGATAACCAAATCATTACTAATGGAGAATCATTTCCAAATCCTTCGAATCCATGTGAGGATTGTGTTTGCCAAGACGGACGTGTGAACTGTGGGAATCATGAGTGTCCGAGGCCGAATTGTAACTATCCCCGGCCGGGGACGTGCTGCCAAAACAACTGCAATGGTGAGAGTCATAAGCATTACATTTAGATTTAGAAATGAACTTATTTTTTATTTATTTTCAGGTTTGACCTTTATGAGGGGGTATATTTTCTGACCACATTTACAATTAGATCTTCCGACCACTTTTACAAACCCGATTCCAAAAAAGTTGGGATGGAGTAATATTTGACCAGCAGTATCTGTACTTTAACTCAAGTAATGGAGTTGAGTACTTTGTCCGCCTCTGCATGCAACCCCATACCATCAGAGATGCAGGCTTCTGAACTGAGTGCTGATAACAACTTGGGTTGTCCTTGTCCTCTTTAGTCCGGATGACATGGCGTCCCAGTTTTCCAAAAAGAACTTCAAATTTTGATTCGTCTGACCACAGAACAGTTTTCCACTTTGCCACAGTCCATTTTAAATGAGCCTTGGCCCAGAGAAAACGCCTGCGCTTCTGGATCATGTTTAGATATGGCTTCTTTTTTGACCTATAGAGTTTTAGCCGGCAACGGCGAATGGCACGGTGGATTGGGTTCACCGACAATGTTTTCTGGAAGTATTCCTGAGCCCATGTTGTGATTTCCATTACAGTAGCATTCCTGTATGTGATGCAGTGCCGTCTAAGGGCCCGAAGATCACGGGCATCCAGTATGGTTTTCCGGCCTTGACCCTTACGCACAGAGATTGTTCCAGATTCTCTGAATCTTTGGATGATATTATGCACTGTAGATGATGATAACTTCAAACTCTTTGCAATTTTTCTCTGAGAAACTCTTTTCTGATATTGCTCCACTATTTTTCGCTGCAGCATTGGGGGAATTGGTGATCCTCTGCCCATCTTGACTTCTGAGAGACACTGCCACTCTGAGAGGCTCTTTTTATACCCAATCATGTTGCCAATTGACCTAATAAGTTGCAAATTGGTCCTCCAGCTGTTCCTTATATGTACATTTAACTTTTCCGGCCTCTTATTGCTACCTGTCCCAACTTTTTTGGAATGTGTAGCTCTCATGAAATCCAAAATGAGCCAATATTTGGCATGACATTTCAAAATGTTTCACTTTCAACATTTGATATGTTATCTATATTCTATTGTGAATAAAATATACGTTTATGAGATTTGTAAATTATTCCATTCCTTTTTTACTCACAATTTGTACAGTGTCCCAACTTTTTTGGAATTGGGTTTGTACAATCCATTATGTCTTAACAATAAAAATTCCATCTACATCAACTAATATTTATAAAACAAAATGTGTAATCAAGCCTAGAATAGAATAGTAATTTATCAGGGGCATATCTTCCCCATATTTTGTTTTTAAATGAATTTTTTGTTACGTCAGGTGACTTAAAACCCTGTTAAAGGGATAGTACACTCAAAAATGTTATTCTGTAATCATTTACTCACTTTCATGGCATTCCAAACTTATTATTTTCCCTCTTCAGTGAAACATAGAAGATATTCTAATGAATGTTGGTAACCAAACTGTTTCGGTTCCTATTGACTTGAATTGTATTTTTGTCAGTGGGAAATGAAATATTCTGAGTGTAAATTAATATAAATAAAGGAAAATAGACATAAATAATAGTGGAAATGTGGAAATCTTAGATCAGTTGGTCTTGAGCAAATCTGAAGAGAAATCCTGGAGTTCCTAATGAAAGATTGCTGACTATCTTGGTAAATCTGAGCTCAGTTTGAGACTTATGCAAAATCTGTTGGTCAGACGAATTTTGTGTACATCAAATTACTCTCCATTTAATGTCATTCCTGTTTAGAAGAAACAGTTGAGGAAACTCTTTCCTATGAGTATATGCAAACCAGTCACTTAAAAAGCTCTTCCTTTCCTTCAGGATGTAGTTATGCAGGTAATGAGTATCCAAATGGAATGGAATTTCCTCATCCAGTAGACAAATGCAGGACGTGCCGTTGTGAAGTAAGTGTTTCTTTATCAGTATCAATACTGTTCAAACATTTGGGGTCGTGAGATTTTTTCGTTTTTGTTGTTGTAATATTTGATTAAAAATACAGTACAGTTTTGTATTTAAATATATTTTAAAATGCAGTTTATTCTTGTGATGCAAAACTGAATTTTCAGCATCATTACTCCAGTCCTCAGTGATGATACTTCAGAAATTATTCTAATTGCTGATAGCCTGCTCAAGAAACATATTATATGAACTTCTTATCAGTTGTGCTGCTTTTTGTTTTTGTGGAAACAGTCATACATTTTATTTTCAGGATTCTTTAATGAATAGAAAGTTAGATAAATAGTTAATAAATAGAATAGTATTTATTTGAAATAACATCTCATTATAAATACAGGTGCATCTCAATAAATTAGAATGTTGTGGAAAAGTTCATTTATTTCAGTAATTCAACTCAAATTGTGAAACTTGTGTATTAAATAAATTCAATGCACACAGACTGAAGTAGTTTAAGTCTTTGGTTCTTTTAATTGTGATGATTTTGGCTCACATTTAACAAAAACCCACCAATTCACTATCTCAACTTTTCCACGACATTCTAATTTATTGAGATGCACCTGTATCTGTTCTGTCACTTTTGATCAATTCAATGAATCCTTCATGAATAAAAGTATTAATTTCTTTCAAAGAAAAATCACACTGATCCCAACCTTTGAACGGTAGTGTGCATCCACACACATCAGAGTCATACTGTACATCTGTGTCATGTGTCTGTGTGTTTGTCTGTAGAATGGTAATGTCCAGTGTCTGAGGAAGCAATGTCAGGTGGCAAATTGTGCTGGTGCGTTCGTTCCATCAGGAGAGTGCTGCCCCCAGTGTCCAGGTCACACTGCTGCTCTTATACTGTAGCAATTCATGTCTAAATTACTATTTTTACATAATGACCATTTGGAGATTGTACTTGAAACTGTTCACATGCTATTACTGTAATTTCACCATGGTGTGAAGCATCATTACACCTTCCTATTGTTTGAGTGTATTTAGATGTCAAATCTAATTTCTTACAGAAGCCCCTGCTGACTGCATTTTTGAAAGACAGCGTTACAGTCACTTGCAGCAGTTCCATCATCCCGTTGACAGCTGTCAGTCATGCTTCTGCACCAATGGGGAGGTGAGCTGCCATCGCAGGCCCTGCCCCTCTGCTGTCTGCTCTCACCCTGTAATTCAAGAGTGCTGTCGCACATGTGATGGTGAGACATTTCATACAAACATCATGAAGAGCATGTGAGAGCTTAAATAAGGTTTCATCAAGAAATGTAGAGAGCAGTATTTATAATTATATATGCATATATGAGTATCAGTGTGTTAGAATGATTTCTGAAGGATCATGTGACACTAAGGACTGGAATATAATATATATATATATATATATATATATATATACACAGTATATATGTGTGTGTCAAGTCACCTTTATTTATATAGCGCTTTTAACAATACAGATTGTGTCAAAGCAACAGAACAGCATTATTGGCCGTCAGGTCCGTCAACACCCTCCGTAGACGCTCCAGGTGAGTCTCCCAACCTTCGGAGTGAATGACGACATCTTCCAAGTAAGCCGCGGCGTAGGCTTGGTGGGGCCGGAGCAAGATCTCCATCAGCCGCTGGAACGTGGCGGGCACCCCGTGTAGGCCGAAGGGTAGCACCGATGGGGCTGGCCCACGGGCTACGGGAGGGCTCAATGATTCCTAGTTGGAGCATCTTCTTGACTTCCTCCTCTATTGCCGGCCGGCGAGCTTCCGGTATCCGGTAGGGCCGCTGCCGGACTACGACTCCGGGGGGTGTGCGGACCTCATGCTCTATGACGGTAGTTCTGCCCGGGGTCTCACTGAACACATCCCAGAACTGACTGACCGGTTGCCGCACCCGGTACGTCACCGGTCCCATCCGTTCCACTACGGTGTAGGGACCCTGCCAGGTCGGCAGAAACTTGCACGCAGCTGTCGGGACCAGTACCACCACTCGATCGCCCGGCTGGAACTCCCGGGCCTGGGCGGGCCGGGCGTACAGCCGTTGCTGGGTGCGCTGGGCGGTCACCAGATGTTCCTTCACCAGCGGCATGACCCGGTCTATCCTTTCCCGCATCTCCCGCACGTGCTCGACGAGGCTACGAAGTGGGGCGGGCTGGTTCTCCCAGGCTTCCCGAGCCACGTCTAGAAGGCCCCTGGGCTGTCTCCCAAACAGCAGTTCGAAGGCCGATCCGCTCGAAGGGCACATCGATGACAGGTAGTGGAATGAGCGGGCTGGGGGGAGGGCGGCACGGAGACGTCTGCTGGCAGGTGGGACAGCTACGGCAGAAACGTTTCACTTCGGCCTCTAGTCCGGGCCAGTGAAAACGGTTCCGGATGCGCTGGACGGTATTGTCGGCTCCTAGGTGTCCCGCCATTGGGTGGCCGTGGGCCAGCTCCATGACCATCTCCGTCTTGGCGGTAGGCACTACCAGGAGGAATTTGTCCTCCCCCCGCCTGTGGGCGACACAGTACAGCAGACCAGTGCGTATTTCAAAATGAGGGAGGGGGTGAGGCCCCGGGAGCCTGTCTATCTCATCAATGCGGCGCACTTGATCCCAGCAGTTCCGTAGGTGGCCCGTTCCGGGCGGTACGGCGTGGTATCCTGGATCCGAGGAGGAGCTTCTGGAACCCCGGCCAATCCCGTCCCAGGAGCAGAGGTACAGGGAGATCCGGCACAATGCCCACCTCGATGGCCCAGGTCGGTGGTCTATACACAGTAGCCAGAGCAAGGGATACGATAGATTTATTTTGCATATCTGACAGTGTAACATTGAGCATTAGTATTTCGAATGAGTTAAACCTGTATCCTGTCTTCTGAGTAACATTGAGAATATCACTATATATTGTTGCAAC